ATCTCTTATCTTAAACGCTGTTAAAACAAACGCTGTTTAACCTCTTGACTACGGTAGACTTTGATACGCAGCGACCTTACCATACGATAGGAATTGAGATACGATGTGCGCCATTTTTGTGAAAGAAGCACTCTCTGTGTCACAAACGCAAAATTTCTAAGCGTTTAAGACACCCACCGTGTCACAAACACATTTCTAAGCGCCTATGGGCGCCCTCCGTGTCATAAACGTAAAATTTCTAAGCGCCTAAGACACCCACCGTGTCACAAACACGACATTTCTAAGCACCTAAGGCGCCCACCGTGTCACAAACACAAAATTTCTAAGCGCCTATCGGCGCCCACAGCAGCCAAGGAGTTAAACACAGGACTTGCTGGAACGAAATGCTGTGTCGAGTGACGCTCGTCATAGGACCGCAAAGGGCTAAAGGCAGTAGTGTTCACGGAGAGATGTTATATAGTTTACACGGATATAGTGAATGCATATATTTGTTAAATTATCGTGTGAGGTCATAGCATCCCCAGTCCCTAATCCCTATGATATCTAGTGCTGTTTAGACGACGGTGTGGATTTGGTTTTATTAGTGTGAACGAAAGTGTGTGACGTCGAGTAATGGCTCGAATGTAGATATGTATGTTTTTAGAAGCGCGAGTGGAAGATCTAGAATGCGTGGTGTCGTGCTGTTGCTATGGATCAGAGTCAATATGTTATAAGGAAGTTCAGTTTGTTATAAGAAGCATGAGAATGAACAATTATTATATAAGGCGTGTGTAAATTTATAATTTTATAATAAATATACGATTGTTATACAACAAACTCACAGACGGTACTGCCTTTGAGAGCAATAGTGAGCAAAACAAGCTTTATAAAAATACCATCGTTTAATGCAACCAAGTAGCAACTATTGTTTCATGTGAATTGAAGTTTCATCTATCTTCCGTGTCATCTTGGTAAAAATTGTATTTTTGCCAACGAGTGCCATGGAATTTTAATGATTAATTTAGATAGATGGGTAGGGAGATGAACTAGGTTGGATGTGACTAAGATAGAGATATTCCTCAAAATGGTGTCGTAAAATTCTAATCCCATTTTTTGACCTGGAGAAGTTTTTCATATTTTTCTATGACTAAGTATCCTAAAATAGAAAAATTAAGCTTCTGAAGGGAAAGATGTTAGGTCCAGGACCCTTTCTTCCTATCTGAGGATTATTCTTGTTTCTTTGTTAGATATGAAATTTCTGTTGTGTAAAGATGTATTTTGATATCTATGTAGAGGTTTAATTTGGTACATGTTGAAAACTGTACATGTACAGGATTTTGCAATTTTTCTCAGAATTATATGGTGTGTATATATATATAGCATATACTGAAGTAACTTTAGGAATATATCAGGTAGCGTAGAAATTTGTTCCTCCTTTTAAAATGATATTGTAAAAAAGGATAAAATAAAGAATGAATTTAACGAATACCTGGATTTGAAATTCTTCAGATTTTGTGAAGTTTCTAGTGCTGACTCTTAAGTTTTATCTCTACGATTCCTACTTTCAACTTTAACTGCGTCTAGCCCGCATTTTTCCAAGCATATGCCATACATATATTCCTGCACACGACTATCCTTTCTTCTACTTCTTCAGTATAGGACATTCAAGCCTCTCAAGCAGCTCTAAACAGGGTTCTTTCACACCCTTAATGTTCTAGACCTGTGTTTCTCAATCTTTCATGCTTCACACCGCCTGGAAACGTGTGTGTAATTGGCACAACCCCTGTGTAGACAGTAGAAACTATAGTTATCGTATAACACTCGAGATAAAATAATATAGATAAGATATAATAATATAATACGAATAATAATAAAAATGAAAGAAAATAATTTAATAACAAAAATAATAAAAATAAAATGGAATAACATAGTAACAAAAATAATAAAAATAAATTGTAATAGTATAATAACAGACATACTGGAAATAATAATAAAATAAACTGGAATAAAATAAAAAGAAAATATATATACATTAAATTTTGTATCTAAAAATTATCATAATAAACATCCGAAAATTTTACTATGAAAGTATCATCTGGTACTTTTCTACCTTAAACCCCCTACTTTCTATCTGCATTATTAAATTTCCACCAAATTTTTGCGAAATACTCTTAATTCGTTCGATAAAATTTTGAAGCAATTTAAATTCTGACATTTACATAATTTATAGTATAGAATCAGTAACGACCTATTAACTGCAGAGATTATACTTTATTTTTCTAATAACCTTATATATTTTATTTTACTAATAACCTTGTACACTAATAAACTACAACAATTTTTTAAGCAATTGAACTATTGAATTATTTTAAAGCAAATTATTTCTTCATAAAACAATGAATGGACAGAAATTACTGCATGTAATCATGTAATAAAATAATTAAAGAAAAAGAACTATAAATATTCCTACGAAAACAGATTTTCAAAAATTGGAATTAAAAATAAAATAACAAAGAGAGATGAGGGTATTGTTAAATTATTAATGCAACGGAAACAAAATAATAATTTTAATACATTGGCTCACGTGTTATTTTATAGAATACATAGTCATTCAGATAAAGGAATATTCGATACAATAATTCGCCTCTAATCTGAGCATGAAACACGTATTACAAATAAATTTCTACGTATTTGACTAAATTTCAGAGAAATACACATATTTTCGTAAAATTAAAAGAGCAAATTGTCAACAAAATGTCACAGAGGAAAATGTCGTAATAACATTTGACAATGCATTAATATCGTTCATTAATTTATCGTTGCTCCAGTAAGTTTGGCAGTGGCGAAAATAAACGTAACAGTGTTTAGCAGTACGTAATCAATAATGTTGCATTTTCATTAAATAATATATTTCTATGAATGTTTTAATCTAAACGTTCGTAACATTATCGTTTTGCAACATTATTAAAATGAAATTGCGAAAAGGAATAGGATGCTCTTCTAAAAGCCTTCAGATATGAAACATGTCGACCATAAAACTAGTTTTTTATTAAATTTTATCTCATAAAATTTCTATGAAATGTGTTGAACTTATATTTAAAAAATAATACCAACCAATAATAATTATGATATTTAAATATCGAATAAGATTTAAACCTAATGCGTGGGAAAAATAATATTCGTCAAAGACGAATCTCATTTTCTTAAAAAAACATGAATTTTTATTTTATTTATAGTAACCTTTTATTGCAATATTTATTTCTACTACATTTCTCAGTAATAATTAAAATTTCCTTTCCTTAATCTTAATTCCCAGATTTTCTGTATCAATATTGCAATCAAGTGCAATACTGTATAGCATATAATTTCGTAATTATAGTACATTACATATATATCTGCTATATTTTTCTACAATAATTAAAATTCCTTTTCCTTAAACTGAAACAAAAGACATTTATTTCTACTATATTTCTCAGTAATAATTAAAATTTCCTTTTCTTAATCTTAATTCCCAGATTTTCTGTATCAATCATATTGCAATAAAGTGCAATACTGTATAGCATATAATTTCGTAATTATAGTGCATTACATATATATCTGCTATATTTTTCTACAATAATTAAAATTCCTTTTCCTTAAACTGAAACAAAAGACATTTATTTCTACTATATTTCTCAGTAATAATTAAAATTTCCTTTTCTTAATCTTAATTCCCAGATTTTCTGTATCAATATTGCAATCAAGTGCAATACTGTATAGCATATAATTTCGTAATTATAGTACTTTACATATATATCTGCTATATTTTTCTATAATAATTAAAATTCCTTTTCCCTAAACTAAAACAAAGGACATTTCAGAAAATCAATTAACCTTCTATTAAACCTCAGTTACATTCCTCGGTACCTCGAGCAATACATAATTGACGCAAAAGTACATACATATATTCGTACAAAATGCAAATTCCTTTTAAAACGTTTGCAAGCAGAGTGTATACCGTTCAGTAGTTTCACGAGCACGCTTTCAAAGATAACGAAACGATCTGCAATTTCCTCGATTTAATGGGTTCGAACAAACACTCTGCATGGACTCTCATCAGTGTTACTTTTAATTACTAACTGGAACCGGTAAAAGTGCACCTCACACTTCCATCGGGCTGCCACACAAAGCTGTAACTACATTTTTCCTGCCTGGTCACGAAACTCAATGAAAGTGAAATCCTTTAAGCACGTGGACGAGCAATGTGAAACATTTATGCACTTGAAATAGATACTATCAACTGTGAATCGGCAATATCCTGAACTAGCATATCAACAATTTACGTATGAAGATATGAGTGTGTGTATGCGTGCGTGAACGTGCAGCATGTGTCATAGTGTATAGGAATATTTGAAACTATAAATACGTACGTATCTGAGTATAATAAACAGGGTATAAAAATAAAATTTGCGAATGTATAAGACTCTAATATTTAAATGTAAAATTTTTCAAAGTATATTATATTATACTAACCATCGCGTCTTTTGCATAATCTCATACCGTATTACTTTCATATGCATGGGTCCTAGTAATTATAATTAAACAATTTGCTATTATATTTCAGAACCATATTATTATTATTATTATTCTTTTTCTTGAGGAAGATTACTATTTTTTTAGTAATAAATCACTAGCTTGTAAAATCACTTTTACAATGGACATTTCCTGTTCCTTTCTCTTGCATTTCTTTCAAAATTTGGTGCAAATTTTTCGACTTGTATTTTAGAATTATATAGTTCACAATTTTTTAACAAAATCACTAGCAATGAATAAACATTTCCTGTTCCTTTCTCTTGCACTTCTTTCAAGATTCGATGCAAATTTTTCGATTTATATTTCAGAATCATATAGTTCACAATTTTTTAGCAAAATCACTAGCAATGAATAAACATTTCCTATTTTTTCTCTTGCACTTCTTTCAAGATTCGGTGCAAATTTTTTGGCTACCGTAAATAGTGACTTTCGACACTCTCTGTCTTCAGATACAACGTGATCTTCACGATACTGACGTACATTCTACCAATTGGATCGATGACGTTCACCTACGCCAGGATTGGCTTGGAGTTATGGGGTTCACAAAGCATTGGCGAAAATACCGCAGGACAATTGGAGGGTATACGGAGTAAACGGAGGGTATGTAGCATTTCCATTAATGAACTTACATGCTTCGATACATAACTAGATTCGTTATTAGCGAAATTAAATGACAGACCTTATTACCGCCGGTGAATTTATTGAAGAATTATCAGCATCGAAATATTATCAAAAAGGTCGAAATGATTTATTTCAAATTTGTAATTTTGCATCTGCTGAAAGTATGCAGCTACTATTCGGCAAGGTTAATGTTGAATTTTATTCGAATAGAATTTTAATTACGCGTACTGCTTTATTTTTGACGTACCATTTTAATTAATATTTATTACGCACACTATGTTCGTGTACACGTTATAGGTTGCTAGATTTAGCGTTAATATTCAATTTTAATTTCAATATTTTAATTATGAGGAAATTATTAATTCCAGGCTCTTTTTAATATGCAAAATGAAATTGAATACCTGATACGTAATTATTAATTTTATGAAACATTTTTGAGGACTTTTTTAGATATTAAATGTAAGTCCTTGTATGAGAAAATGCTAAATCTTATTATATAACGAAGGCAACTTGGTAAAATCCATAAAACTCGACGATAAATGACTCTTTTTTTTATTTTAATTATTTTTAAAGGAATAAAATTTTTTTGTCAATTTTAAGTGGGTGTACTCGTATCGGGTATTTTTTCTGTCCTACATTTTATTTTATCGGAAAAAATAATGGAAGTAATAATAATTTTCAATTTATGGAATTACGTATAAAAATTTTTTAATATGTCTCTGTTAATCCATTAAGCATTATTAAATGCATCATTTTCGAACGTTAAGTATAATTTTTTCAAAAATGAATACGGATATATTTTAATTAAGTTCAATTTGTAAGTAAATTAAATTACGAATGAGTTTGATGTAAAACGAAACGCGAAAGGGTATATTAATTTGATTGAAATTTGTAATAATACAGTATCAGTCGTAAAATATCACGTGACAGAAGGTTTCTTCGAATTATTTGAATTTCAAAGACGTCGTGTCACGCGATGCTGCTTTCAACGAAATGCACTGCAGCTTGTGAAACGGTGGTGGAACAATACAACTTCTTTTATTGCGCTTACGAAACCAACGGCGAAACTATATAAACGATCCCAATTAATTAACTTTACGCAATTTTCGTTCGCACCCTTCGACGCTGTGTCTGTCAGAAGGTGATAAGCAATCGCAGCATGCGAAATACCTATGGGAAATACAATAAACGAGTTATCTAGTTAACGACATTCATGTAACGATAATTTAGTTTACAGACTGTTGCCTCATTAACATTTTTTAATTTGTAATCGATCATTTTCAGTACCCAAGAAAATACGAAATTTTAAATACAACTTGTCAAATTTAAATGAATATACAAGATTATTTTTTAAATTATTTTGTATAAATATTTAACTTTAAAATATTATTGTAATTATTGTTTAAAATATTGAATACATTAAGCCTGCTATATTCTTTATTTACACTACTTATACATCTTTAGAGTCACATCAGGGTGATTATTATGAAAAACTGTAGTGTAATAATTATTATCGTAACAATATAAATAAATTATTATTATAAAAGTTTGTAATTATAATATATTATGAAAATTAGAATTTTCGATGTTATAATAAATTTTTAAAATTAGAGTTTTCAGTCATATAATAAATTATAGAAATTGATATTTTTAATATTGTAATTAGTATTAAAGAATATGTATCAATATATACATAATATATGTAATAAATTAACGACATTAATTTTTCTTAAAAAGTAGATAAATTAAAGAACTATAATAAAAAAAATTGGAATTTTTACTTTTTTAATGAAGTAAAAATTGGAATTTTTTAATTTTATGATTGATTAGAAAAATAAAGCTAATTTAATTTTTTAAGAAATTATGAAAATTCAAATATGATAAAGAAATATTTCAAAACATAGTCATTATTAAACGTAAGCATCATTTCCCTTTATATTGAGTCCAGAACAGCAAAGTAAAAAAGATATTATTGCTATAAACGTTAATTCACTTAGGCACTTCAATATAACGTGGGAGTCATATTCTTTGAAAAATTCCTGGTAGAATAAAGTTAATTACTTCCCTCAGAAGTGCAATTTAACGTTATCGACATAAAACCGAAAATGAAATTTTCATACCTTATAATGGGTAAACGAACACTATGACTGTCCTTTTATTGTTCCAATTACAGTAATTACGAAATTATTAAAAATAATCTACTACTAATCATTTTTATTTAATACTGATCTTAAAATGAAATATTCATATAAAGATATTACGATATAATTGTTAAACAAACTTCTTTTTTAAATAAATTAAGAAACAATTTGTCTTGAAAAAAAGTGACAAATTTTCACTGTAAATGATCCTTTAAAAAATGATATATTTATTACTCTTATTTAACGATTAAATACAAACTATAGATAATTTTTATACATTTATCACGTGTTATTTAATCGTAATTGAATACAAATTATATGCACTTATTTATAAGAGTGAAGAAACAAAGTAATGAATTTAGAATTTTTCTATATTCTTTATCTTTTGATGTAATATATGATAGTATAATTATAATGCAATAAAAACAATAATAAATTAATTTCAAATTTATTCACTTCCAAACATCAATTAAATCCAAATATGAATTTATTATTCAAAGTTTATATAAAATAATCGTATTCTAAATCTAGTTGGAGCAATAATCGTAATAAATAAAATTAAGATAATAATAAATTAATTCAAAAAATAAAAAATAGCAAGAATACAGCTTTCGTATATTTTTAGTTTAAAAGATACGTGATATTTCATAAAATATAAACTTCGTGGGTGTACGATCGAGAGGCCAAGGTAAAATCTTGGCAAAATTCCATATTTTAATAGTCGAAGTCCTTGTATGCTCATTTTGTATGTCATTCCAATACACGAGGTCTTACGTTGTCGTGTAACAGGATACATTTCCATTAATTCCATTTGTTTCCCAACACAGGTCGTTTCGTTATTAATCCCGCGTATGTTTTTGCTGTAATTGTAGCCTCGGGTTATAAGAAATAGATATGAATAAATCCTGCATACAACCAGTGGACTGTCACTATTTAGTCCTTTGAATAAAACGATAATTTTAATATATCTGTTTTGCATGCTCGTTTATCAAGCCAATTTATCAAGCCTATTTATCAAGCTATTATTTCAAACTAAGTTCTACAATTATATCTGCGTTTTTAAAATGGTATCTATTTATTCCTTTGAAGCAAGAAAATGACTGTCTCCAGTGGTCTAAACTTCTGTATATCGCTTAACTCGTAGAGAATTTATTTCCCCATTTCCTCCACTTTTCCTATTTGGCCAAAGTAATAAATAATGGTAGAATACCTTACTTGCATTTGGGACGTTATTGCTCTTGCTGTTTGTCGTGAATTATATTCTGTAATATATTTTAAAATATGATTGTCCGAGATATCTTACGTTATTGCTTTCCTCGATTTATTTTCCAAAAAAAAATCACCAGTCTTAAATTTCGTGCCAACATTATACTGTTTCGCTGTTTCTGTGATTGTCTACTGATGATGGATGTACTGTGGTACTTTGGTTCATGAATTTAGCAATTTTCGAGAAAATTTATCAATTTATTTATTTCGAGGAAATTTAGCAATTTTATTTAATTATTTTATTTATATGCGTGTAAAATAGTCCCACGAATATTTTAATTATGAAGAAATAATCATATAAATATTCTAATTTATATGTTTAATATTATTATTTTATGCCAAAATATTTACTATATTTTTAATATTCGTTTTTATACCATTTTTGTTTCTTTTCTTTATAATGTCATATACATCTTTATTTAGAATGTGATGGTTTTGTCTTCGGAATTTTTTAAATATTTTCCATTATTCCATTGTCATATAAATATTCTAATTTATATGTTTAATGTTATTATTTTATACCAAAATATCTGCCACATTTTTAATATTCGTTTTTATATTCATTTTTTTCTTTATAATATTATATACATCTTTATTTACAATGTAATATTTTTGTTTTTAGAATTTTTTAAATATTTTCCATTATTTTGTGTTAAATATTATTCTTTATAGTATTTTCAATATTATACTATTTTTAATACTATTCTTTATCATTTCTCTAATATTTTTATTAATAAGTCCAGCTTGCAATATTAGTATTCTGTATATATATGACTAACACTTACTATACATGCATCGCAACATAGTACTTTCGAAACATATGCAAAGAAAGAATATTGTCTTTCGTTATTTCCAAAGCTAATAAATAATTTCTTATTTTTCTCAAAACAGAATACTCTCAAATTATTAATTTACGGAATAATAACGTATTTGCCACTTCTGTGTCATACTTAAAAAGATACAAATATCTTCGCTGACTGATTCTTCTTTCACTCGGTTAATCCTTTCATTCTAGAACCGTTGTTTACTTAGACTTAATTTCATGCTGGCTAGTTTCCTAGAATGCTCGTTTCTTGTATCCTTGGGAATCAAGCTCATATTTCATTCAAGTCTCGTACGTATTGAGAAATTCCCAGACTGTGAATCTCTTTACTACTTCACTTTGTAAGCAGTTCGAAGGACCAGGTGGCGACACTACCAGCAAATCGGTGAAGTCCCACTTGGTTAGCCCTCCTCAGACCCCAAGCTTTCCACTTATCTCGATAACCGTGAGGTTAGGAAGTTGGTGATGCAGGTCAACGGAAGAACTAAACCCAAGGGAAAATGGCTTTCTGTCCAAGAATTTCTCGTGTTCCGTGTCAAGGATTTATAACAGGTTTATCGCCACTTAGGATGCAGATACCAGGTCCGAGCCATTAATATAGCACCCAGAATTGTTATCTTTCTGCATAGGATTTGGCATAGAATAATTTTTACATTTCGTATCCACAGTGTACTAGAAAATAACACCGTACTATATAATTTTGCTACATAATTTCTGTAGGATCGGGTTGGGT